CATAATCTTCAAAAATTTCAAAATCATCCTCTACAGAAATATCATCATCTTCAGATTCACCTGTAATATAATCTTCTTCAGTGGTAAATTCTAAAGATTCTGAATATTGATCAGCTTCTATTTCAGGATTATTAGAAGGATTTATGTCAGATTTTGAATAATTTGTGTATTTTCTTACACATCTCTGAGGTAATAAAGTAGAATTAAATCTTCTTGATATTCATCATCAGATTTATGTTCAAAGATTTTTATAATTTGTCTAGTTGAAGTTGATGTTAATGATTCTCCCATTTCGTCTTATATTCTGAATTAATAAAATGTATTTAAAATAGAACTTTGTGAATCTTGATATCTAACTCTGGTATTATAAGAGATTGATAGCCTAGAAGTAGATATATTTTTTTCATCAATTAAATTACTAATTAACCTACTTGTTCTTCTATGAGAAGGTGTATTTGAAGATTGAAATGTAGAAATATCTTCTTTTTCAATTAATCTAGCAATCAATCTATTTCTTCTATGAGAAGATATATTAGAAGATTAACTAGATGAATTATTATCATCATTACCATATATTTTATAACCATGTATTTTATAAATTGATTTTTTTTAGCTCATTTTTATTTTATAATTGAGAATTAAAAGAAAAATAAAAGTTTCGAAATGGAGTTATTTTTGAAGATGATTTTATTTGAATTTTATATTTTTTAAAAAAATGCAGTAGTTTTGCAAATATTTATATTAATATACTAAACTATTTTTTTTCTTTTTTAGTAAATGTAAACAATTAAACAAATTTCCTTTTTAAAATAATTGTAATATTTATAACTATTTTTATTAAGTTGTTTTGATCTAATGCATTGATAAATTGTTTGTTTCTGATTTACTTTAAGTGTGTTTTGATTTAATGCATCGATAAATTGTTTTCAAATCTTGTATTGATTTAATGCATGATGAAAGTATTGTTTCTGATTTATTTTAAGTGCATTTTGATTTAATATATTAATAGATTATTTCTGAATCTTATATTAATTTAATGCATGATGAAAGTATTGTTTCTGATTTACTTTAGGTGCATTTTGATTTAATATATTGATAGATTGTTTTCAAATCTTGTATTGATTTAATATATAATAAAAGTATTGTTTCTGATTTACTTTAGATGCATTTTGATTTAATATATTGATAGATTATTTTCAAATCTTGTATTAATTTAATGTATAATAAAAGTATTGTTTCTGATTTACTTTAAGTCTTTAATTAATATCCTTGATTTTTTTTATTTATATTTTTTTAATTTTGCTATTTAAAAAATCTATTAATAAAATTGCATATATTAAAAAAAATTAGAAAAAAAATATAATCTATAATTAAAATAAAATTAAATTTAAAAGTCAAAAAATCAATTATTAAAATAAAATACAAATTAAAATAAAAATAATTAAAAAAAAAATTAATTATAAAGAAAAATTAAATTAGAAAAATTAATTTAATTAATAAAAATTAATTTTTTTTTTTTATCAATATAATTAAATATTTTCAAATTTAGTTTTATATTTTTATTTATCATAAATAAAATTTTAAAGTTTAATTGAATTAGTTATGCAATCGATTATTTAATACTAAATAAAAGATAAAGTTTCTTATAATCTATAAACTCTAGTTTAAATATATAAAACTTTCTTAATCCATTTCATAAATATCTTAAAAAGACTTATAAAGGTTTTTCAATTCAAACTTGAGACTATTCATGTATTATATAATAATGATTCAAGTTTAATTGCATTTAATAGAAGAAAAGTATTATATTTAATTTAAAAATTTATTTTGAATTATATGAAGAAAGTAGTATTAAAATTATAAGTAATACTGACTCATAATAGCTTATTATAAATTAGTATACAATTTACTACTGAATATAATTTTATGAATAAAGTAATTATAATTTTAAAATTATTTAAATTATTTTGTCATAGTTTTTGATTTAATTTAATTTATTATTTCTTATTTTTCCAATAGTATCATTTTTCATATTCGTAATATTTTATATGTAAAGTTTTTTAGAAATATTAAATTTTATAATATTAAAAAGTAGAAATTATTATAAAATTATTAATAATATAATTATTTAATCATAATATAATAAAAATAAGTAATCTTAGTTTTTTACAATATATTAAATCTAAAGATATAATTCAATAAAGATCTAGTATTATTATTTATCCTTTTATTTGTTGATTACTTTTTAATTTATCTTCATATCTAAGTAGGTAATTAAAAGTTCTAATTAGTTTTAATAAAATTTTTAAACATTTTCAAAAATTAGCATATATATAAAAAAAGTTATTATTTTATATAATTATAGTAAATCAATAATTTGATATTTATTTAATTATTATTTTAAATTTTATATAATAATTGTAATAAACTAAATATTTTAATTATATTAAAAGATTAGAAAAGTTGATTATTAAAAATTAATATAATATTATAAGTTAATTAAACTGAAAATTTTTGATTTATTTAACTTGGTTGAATTATAAATAAAATTAACTTTATTAAATTTATATTTTTTGCTAGTTTTTTATATAGATATCTATTACAGAAAATGTGATCATTAATTACATTGAAGTATTTAATAGGAATTATAAATAGATTAAAGTTGTAAAATTATATATTTCATAAGCAAATTAATTCAATTTTACTTTATTCTATAATGATTTGCTTCCATTGCAAATTTTCCCAAAAGTAATCTAGTTCATTACTACAAAAAACTGGATTATTTATAGTCTTTAATTTCATTATTAAACAGTTGTTTATTAAATATTATACATAATAAACCAGAAGTTATAAAATCAGAATCAAATAAATTAGTTATGATTCTTTTTAAAGCAATCCAAAAATTTAGTCTGTATCTATCAATTAATTCTTGTATAAAAAAAATTGAAATTTTATATTTTGAACACCTTTTGAATATCACAAAGTAATATTGCTTATAACAGTTGATAAATCAGTCCAAAATATTGTATATCAAAGATAAGGTATATAAATTTCAATTTAATAAATTTATACAATAAAGTTTTCCTAAACATTTTCATTTTAAATATGAAAATATATCTTGTATTTAAATTGCTAAGATTCACAGGACTTATAAACATAAAAAAAAAGATTGTGAAAAATTTATAATTAAAAGTTTTGATTATGATTTTATTTTATAAATTATATACAAAATGTTTACTTTTTTTTTTATTGACCTTTTTGAAACCTTGTGATCGACTCATAAACGTGTTTTTTCGTTCAATTCATATATATATAACAAAGATCAGCAGCGAATTGTGCCTTAGAAATTCAATTCTCTGCTGATTTTAAAAACCATTTGGACGCCTTTATTTTATCTTCAGCAACTCTACCTATATTATTTTGATAATAATGACCAACTTTATATTAACTATTTCTGTTACTACCTTCAGTAGATTTTAAAAACCATTCAAATGCTTCATTCCAATTTATCTCAAATACCAATTCCTCCTTCATAAAATATACCAACCTTACATTATCCTGAAGCATTTCCTCGTTCTGCAGATTTCATGTACCATTCAAAGGTCTTAATTCAAGCATACACTGATTCAATTATCCGAAGTCCAATGGATACAAGTATATCTTTTAAACACAGAAAGACAACATTAATATTTGAACATAAATTAGTTTCAGAACAAATATTTTCTTGATATTCATAATACGTCCAAAAATAAATTCGATTTTTTTTATACGATTATCGATAAAAATTGATTTTACTAGAATCGATTCCAATCCCTACTCCGCGGTGAACTGAACCGTTCCGTCCGATTATTCCATCCCATTCTTGACCGAATAAAGAAACTTAATTGACTTATAAAAAATTAAAAAGGAAATTATTAATCAACGACAAAGTGAACAATAAAAAAAAAAATCAAACCTTAGCCGTTCGAAATTCTGTGGAAAAAGGAACTGATATAACCTAAAAGGCTAAGGGAAAAGGCCGGCCATAACCATGAGTCTAGTTTATTATTATTAAAGCGTAGTATAGTACTAGTTAGCAATTTATAGAAATAGATCTGTAAGTTGACCTTGAGTTGACAGAGTTTGATCAAATAGTTTTCTGAATAAGTCTTGGGACTAGACTTATAACTCTACAGATTAATAAAGAAAGGTCTTCGAGATAATCGAGTTCTTAAGTTATTTAGTTTATTAGCTTGGTTTTGGTAGGATTCCAGGTCTAACACCAGAAACCTTATTCACGAAAATCTTAATATGAAGAATAAATTTTTTTTTGAATTTTTTTTTTTTTTTTGAACGAAATTATCTAACGCCAATATCTTATTTAAAAAATAACAACGTAAATTAATAAGTGAATAAAATTTAAAAATTAAAGCTAAATCATGGTAAAATCTCATTGCGTTAGAAAGTTTTATTTATTTCATATATTCTTTTTGATTCAAGTACATATTATTACATAATAATTTAGTTTATAATTCTTAGGCAAAATTGTATTGTTTCACCATTCTGATTTCAAATTATTATTTTTTAAATATTGTAGCATATGCTCGACCTGTCACAAGAATTTCCGAGCAGACTACCCCACCATGATGGATTATTACTCAGCAAGGCTAGAACAAACGAAAGGAAAGCAACTAAAATACCACTAGTGAAAAAAACGACATGAAGGTACCAGTTACCATACACGCTTTTTTCACCTCTCAAATGGCTTAAAAGTGCCAACACGCTGTTGAATGACCATATGGAACACAACAGCGAGAGGTATTTACTACGACACAAAAATCCAATTGGGGGTGTGAAGTAGACTAGGAGCACTGATATCCAGGGAACTACTATTGACATAAGAGCAGCGAACGCAACGCGAGCATATAGGTTGGGCTTATTATGCTTATCTAGATTGGTGACATTTACTTTTTGGTCACCTAGTTTTATATTAGGATCCTTAACTACAATATATTTTAGAAAAGTTCTCCTAAAGATTGCCGGTAATGTCCAAGATAATGCTATCGGTATACTCGGCCAATCCTCATCACAGATAGACGGACCTATCACCCTGACAATTCCTGAAATTACACCAACTAAGAAATAGGAAATAGTAGAATGACGCCAACGACGACAATCTTTCTAGTACAGATGCCTTCGCGACGCATTCTTTCATAATTTCCACTTGGTCCACATCCATGACATCCATGGCATAAACTCCGAAAGGTCTGTAATTGATTTTCTTTCCGCCACGTGTAATGAAACACTCTGATGGGAGCCAATATATGCACAAAGATGTCTCATCATTCTTTATGCAGCAGACGTAAAATAATCCTGTAAATGGACAGCCAAGACATCGCAGTAACCATATAAACTTGTCCACAAAACTCTCCCATGGAGCGGCACCAATTGTTGCTATAACAGGTAAGCAACCTATTACGTATTGAGGAACAGGGTCTTGTAATTTACGAATGAATTTTAGCACCAACAATTTCTCTGCCTCCATTTAAAAGATATCATATCAAAATTAAATTATAAGTTTCGTGCTATATATATCGAATTCTGTCATATAGAAGATATTTATCTTGTAAAACCAAGGCGTATCTGTGTAATTATTGAGGCTTTGTTGGCTGCATAAGTAAGGTGACGATTATTGGTAAAAGATGTTGATTGTTAATTTTTTCAATGAATTTTATCGATAACAAATAATGCGTCCAATGTTTCACACCGGATTTTATCAAAATTAGATGTTCCGCTGATTTCACTTTTTACTATTAAAAGAAACTTTGAAAATAATTAGTATGTATTAGTTATTTATCGCTCAATCGCCGACATCATCAGATGAAGGGATGTTAAAATCCAATCCGGTCCTAGTCCGGTCCCGGAACTCCCAGTCCTAAAGAGGTCCATAGGACTTGGGTCCTAGGACTGGATTCCTAGGACCGCGGTCCTATAGAAATTAGGACTTGCGGTCCTAGGACTGCGGTCCTTAGAAATTAAAACTTGCGGTCCTAGTTCTTGAACAATTTCTTTTATCGTTCAAGTCGAACGATTCCTCATCGTCTTTTTGAACGATTATTTTTCTATAGGACCGCAAGTCTTAATTTCTATAGGACCGCAGTCCTATAGTTCAAAGGACTTTGAACTGGACCGGACTTCGTAGGACTGTTTCCCATGGGACTTTTTAACATCCCTAATCAGATGTCACGGCGCAGCCGTTGAGCGGTAAATAACTATTATATTTCCCGATTACTAACGCCCGTGATAAGAAAAATCACATGAATTATTTAAATCACATGTTATTGTGACGTAAATCCTTTTTTTTACATCATAAATGAAATCAAGAAGACCGTAAAATTTAATACTGCTCGTGAACTTTTAAAAAATCCATGTTTAAAACCTAAAACATCCAAAAATACTGACATTGAAAAGGAAAATTTTATTCCTGTGCAACAAATTCAAGATTAAGAAACCGTTACAAATTATAAATCTTGAATCACAAGATTTCCATTTAATATGCCTTTCAATAATAGTAGTAAAGAAAAGGCTCCGATGTTTAATAA